TCAGATTGGCTCCACCACCAGAGAGTGATGGATGGCACGACACTCCGTGTAAATTATACATGAGCCTACTCTGAAACATACCTGGGGCTGAAGCGTCAGCCATGGAGAGGCATGCATCAAAAATCAGCTTTTCAAGGGTAGCTTTAAGATGAATAGTTTTCATTTTCTTTGCTTTCTGAAATCCTCTTAGGATGTTAATGAAAATATATTTATAAAACTAAACCTGACAATGCTAAATCAACAGTGGGGGAAAATTCCAACAAATTCAATATTATTCTCCATACTGAAATGGAAGAGATACAAAAATAAACCCCCAAATAAGCAAGATCCAACTTCTACAAGCAGTTCAGACAATTTCATAGCATCTTATAATCATTCCTGCAATTACCTATGCACACCACTCCTAATAATTTTATATTGCTCAACTAATTGCACCCACAAACCACAGAGTCATATATATGATGACACAAATTTACTTACAATTACTTACCTGCTTAATTATTTATTAAAAAAACCCACAAAACAGAGCCCTGGATAAGGCCACCTTTAAAACTCAGGGCTCAGTTTTTAAAGCTTAATCCTAAAGATGTCAAAATATTGTAGAGAAGAGCAGAATCGTGGACCCATGACAGGAATAACCTGTCTTCTGTCGGGGGTGAATAGTTCTGTGCTCAACCATCTTCCATGCATCAGCACATTCATTAGACTTAGAGCAGGACTTCCAAGTTAAAGTCACCAAAAATTACCTTGGCTTTATTGCTACAAAAATTCTCTGTCTGAAGAGTACCCACAGCCTGTTTTAACAACAGAGGAATAGTCCTGAACAAAACAAGTTTGGTAACAAACTAAAGCGAACAAACTGAGGGAGCGTGTGAGTTTGTGCCCACGTGTTCTCACCTGGGAACACGTGACAGAAGAGACAAGTGCATTTTAAGCACCTTCCCAAATAAAGATGCAATCATTGAGACCTGATGGCTTTTACCTGGAGCATCTACACCCCAGAACCAAAGGGGAACTAGAAACTGGGAGATGTTAACGTGATGTTGCAGCATTAACAGACAGAGCAAACCTGCCTTCACCCCGCGCAGGTATGAAGATTTGGGCAGCCAACCTACCCAGTGGCAGCACCTGCATGAGCATTTTCTACCCAAAAAGTTTCAGGAAGCAGCTTTCATACAGGTGGGATAAATTAATGAGATAATATGCTGGTCTCCAGCTAACGCAGTGTGTTTTTGAAGTGCCTCAGGAGAAAGTCTCAAGTCTAAAGCAACTGAATAAGCAAATGGGGTTTGGGGGGAAAGGCACGTTGCTGAAACTGAAAAGAAACAGTCAAGGTCAGAAGTACTCACACTGTCCACTGCCAGAATTTTGGCCCAAATGAAGACAAGAAGTGGTCTCAGCTCACGAGCTGAACTTTGAAGCAGCTTCAGCACGTAGGGGAAAATGCCAACGGACAGGGCCTGGGGAGCCAGAGAGAAGAGCAAACCCTGGTCAGGGCTCAGCTTCCCTGCAGAGCGGCTCCGCGCAGGGGCAGGGCTGGGCGCTCTGCAAGGATGCGGCAGATTTAACGACACAGATGAGAAATCTGGTAGAAAACAATTTCATACATTTCTAGCAAAGAGGGGATCCCTGTGTATTCCTCCATTGCTCGTTTTCATCTTGGATGTCACCAGATATTTTCAGACTCGTTTGGTCCACGGGGACTCGGAGTTAATCTAGCACTGGCGTTTACTCGTTACAGCCTGTGCTATTTTATGCTTCATGATACGTTGCACTCTCCTCAGATGGGGCCATTTCTCTCACAAGTAAACATATTGCAAAAGCTCAATAATTACAGGCTTCCCACTGGAAATTAAATAGGCTTCTTGCCTTACACAGAGTTTTTACCAAGTCTTTTCCATGGGATTAGAGACTATGCCCACAGGAGGACATGGAACACGTGAAATCTTTGTGAATCCTACCGTGACTGCAGATACCCTTCCCAAAGCACAATGTAAAGTTAATGGATTGCACTAAAATCACCTTTAATGCATAATTTCTTTCTACCACTGAGAATTAAGCTGTCTGAGAAGGCCTGCAGAAGGGAGTCTTGGCTGAGATGAAGGAGGAAAGTAAAGGAAACCACTAAAAAGTCTCACCATAGAGCTATTCTGTGACCAGCCAGTGGCTCGTCTTCATTACTTCTATCAACAAATAGCTCCATTTACAAGAGTGTTTTAAACTGCTCCTCTGCTTAATTCTTATTTATTATCTGCACTGTATAGTCACTTTCCAAAATGCAGAAGGCAGCTGCCGCCTCCTCAGAAGAGCTTATAAAATCCAGAGGAAGAGAAGAAAACAATGCAGCCAGTGAGCTGAGAGAGCAGATGACAAACATGTGTGCTATTTTCTTGTTATTTATTTTACATAACAAACCTTCTTATTTGTCCCGGATATTTTCTCTGTTTTGTCTCTTACAATATTTTACACTAAACTGTTCCCAAGGAACTTCTCTTTGGTGTATGGCAAACAAACAGGTCTTCAGCCTTTTCGATTAATACAAACCACTTCTCTTTTAGGGATGCTCGCTCCATTTCACACACATGTACACATAAAACACTGGTCATCTGTAAAATCTGTCCAGTATCTTCCACATCTTCCTCCCACAGATCATCATTTGCATTTATTGACTATACTGAGGTAAACTAGACTTTTACAAGACAACATGCAACATCCACACACCAAGCTGACTGCCCAGGGACCCAGGTCCAAAAATCTTCCCAGCAAATCAAGAGCTCGCAGTCGATGTACCTGGCTCAGCAGCACCTGCAGAGGAGAGAGAGAGACAATGGTTATTGCTAAAATGAACAAAAAAATCCTTGGGACTGCAGAGGAAATGTCAGAGGACCTCAGGATTGTGACATGACTTTGAACAAACCGATGGTCTGAACGAAAAAGCTGGAAGACAAACCCTGACTGCTGAAAACCTTCACCCCACTGAGCAGGGTCACCACTGCCCCTCCTGCTAACCCTCTCCTGCACGAAGCTGCTGCAGACACACGTTTTCCTAGGACTGCAGTTATCCTCGGTCTCCACGCCACTGCTCCACTTGTCCTCTCTGCTAATTCCTCTCCAGCACAGCGGTTCCTGTGCAGCCCAGCTCTGCCCAGCTCTGCTAGCGGGAAGCAGCCCCTACGGACTTCAAATATTCTCATCGGACCACCTGCCTTTCCCCAGTAAAGCAGGAACACGATGGTACCTGCAGGAAGGATTCAAAGGTGAGGGAAGTGCCCAGCTTCCCATTACTCAAAGCAGCTCAGAAGCAGAAAAAGAGGCTTTGCTTTCCTTGGCAAATCGAGGGAACAGACTTAAGAGGGAAGCAAAAGGTCACGTTAGTCGTTAATAAAAATCTCATTAAAACGGAGTCTGACAACGATAATGAGGTGGTAGTTTACTGGCTTATACCTACCCTGGTGTGAAATATTAACAGACAGACTTTCAGTTCTTAATCTCCTTAAAAGATGTAAGATATTGGAATGCAATGTTTAATCCTCACTTTAAATTGAGTAACATCCCTCAGCATGAGTCTCAGCAAAAGACTCGTTGATTTAGCTCTCCAATTCCATCTCCTTCTCAGTGTTTTTCCACAGTACATATTCAAATTAAATTATTTTTCATGTTTAATATTGAATAATAACTAAATTACTTGGCTCATGTCTCATACTATGGATGACTGATACGAGATACTAGAGTTGTGCAGAGAAAATCCAGAAGAAAGAGACCAGAGGATGTGTTAACTGCTCTAATAATTTCACCTCTGAATATCAGAGCTCATGACAGGTCATAAGAGAAAGGATTTTGGTCATCCTGCCCTAGTTGGCACCAGCCTGTTCCATAAACTTACTAGAGACCTTGGCATGATGAACAATGTGCTTTGAAGATGCCCAGCACAGGAAGAACAGGGGCAGCTGTTTGAGCTGAAAAAAGACAGGACACATGAGGTGCAGGCCGCTTACGCTGACATGGGAGGCATACAGATTTGACAACGTTGTTATTATCTGACCTTCAGAAACAAACAAGTAAATCCACAAATTCTGTCATAGCTGGGAAAAAAACTGATGTTTTTTTCCAGGTGAAGATACAAAACCACATCTCAACACTGCTAGCATCCCACAAGAACCTTTAACCAAATCAAATTGTGTCTTAAAAGCTCCATTTCATTATTTTCAAAAACAAAAAAGCCATCAGTTTCTCTCAGGTTTTTATATTCCCACTTCCCAAACTGATTTGCACAATAACCTGAAGCCAAAACCAATACAAATTCTAGAAACTTGGATGAGGATGTGGGGAGTCTATGCAGAATTTATGAGCTTTTAGTAAAATGATGAAATTGCTACACTGTGCCCCTCTGTGCACACAGTGCTGTGTCACACCCTCCCCTGACATCTGTCCATCACTATTCCTAAACAGAAGACAGGGAAGCTAATTACCTCCACACATGCAAGGCAGAGATTAACCAGTACACAAGAGGGTAATTTAGAATTAACAGCCCACATTTTAGCAGGAATCTCCTGACAAATGCAGGCTGGAAGAGGGGGACTGCAGCAGCCGCCCCTCCATGGCGCTCTGGGGAGTAAGTGCTACCCTGTGTGCGTTGGAGATGGCGTGGCAGGAGGTACCGCCCCAAGGATCAAGCATCTGCCACTCAGGCTCGTTCATTCTCTGCATGGTCTGAACTCTCTTTGATGACTTCTCCCCCCTCTGCACCAGGAAGCCACCTGTGTCTGCTCTGCCCTGGGCACAGCAAGGATTTGAAATGGAAAGCAGCTTCTGGAAGTCAGTAAAAGGCCATTGACAAAGGACCATCTCCCTGTCCTTTACACAGCCAAGCTGTGCATGGCTGGCACCATGGCCCTGGCACTCACATACTTCCTTTCCCTGGGGGCACATCCAACATGGGAAAACAGAACCAACCCATGTCAGCCTACAGCAGCATAGTCTAAGCACTTCCAAGCAGTCAAAGCAAAAAGACCTCTCAAGAGAGGTCTGAAATGTACTTCCTTTCCTCTCTTCATCAGTCGGTCTCTGATTTGAAGTATCTCAAATCTGTTAACAAACAATCTTATTCCACTATACAATTAATATGCTTTAATTATAAGAACAACTACATTGTCCTAGCTCATTTTTGCTCCAGGAAGGAAAACAGGTTCTTTGCCAGGTGCCCTCTCAATTCCACTGCAATGTTAAGTTACCTGCAGAGCCCTCTGATGCCAAATAATTCACTGGAACGCAGCAAAATTGGTGCTCAAGTAGAAGGCTGCCTTCTCCCATTGCAGTGACAGAGATAAACCATACCTCTGTTTGTCCAACTGATCCCTCAAGGCTTGGGAGGCTCAGAGAAATTAAGATTTGGTCTTACAAAGATTGATGGTGCTGTCGGTCACAAAACAAGCTGGTAGTTAACAGAGGGAAGGTGAGTCTTCTCCCATTTAGTGAAAGATATCACATATCCTTGTGTAAGTGACTGGAGCCATGTTCCTTTAAAGAGAAAGCTGCCTGGTAGAGAAGAGACCACAGCTACCTTGACAAGAGTTTATATTCCTGTCAATACAAACTCCTGGGGAGGAGAAGGCAAGAGCAGATGGCAATTGTAATACGTGCTTTGCCATAAAATATTATTTGAAATGAGGTGTTATGCTTCTCCTAGATTTACTTCTCCTTTATACATATGAACTTTGACTAGTCTGAGCAAATCCCTACCAGAACTCTATGTTCCTTCCAGGCATGGTCTTCAGAGACTTGTTTCTATGTTCTTGCAGCAAAATTTCAGCATCACATTAAAGGGAACACTTTCCAGGCTGTAGCAGACAGATAAAGAAGCCATTTCTAAACTATTCACACTGCAGTAACTTCCACTCTCTGCAAACAAAGAGAAGATAAAGCCTTTGCCTGACAGAGCTGGCATATAAGAGGAGATACTACAGGAGAAAACAACAAAGATGTGCTACTCTGTGAAGGAGTCTTGCTACTTCAGAGCAAAACAGAACCTGATACTGTTGAAGCTGCAAATAAACTACAGTGGGAAGTTTTGCTCGATGGCAAATGAAGGTACGAGGGAAGAAAAGCACTTTGTCTTCATCTGCACAGGTCTAGTAAACAGGCAATCAGCTCTAATTAATCCTGAAGGAGCCCACGTAATTTATGTACCCAAACGCCATCTGGTCAGCAGCAGAGGACTCGGCGGGCAGGGGGAGGGACAGACCGACACGGCGCGGCCGAGCCCCCGCCCCGGCCCCTCACCTGCAGGACGATGGGGAGCTGCTCCGGGGGGTTGCGGTTCTCCACGCCCATGGTCAGCCACACCTGGAACGCTGTCAGCTGCTCCGCAAAGAAGGGACTGTGCTGATGGAGCAAGAACAGGAATGCAAGTTTGGTTAAAAAAAAATATATATATATATAAAAAACCCCAGATTAAAATGTGGAGCGAATGGTTTGGGCGCCTATGGACTCGCACAGTTGATTGTTTCCAAAAGCAATTCTTTTTAATGGGCAAACAGTTGTTTGGGTTTTTTTTTTAATGTACAAAAATTTTTCAAAGGCTGGCAGGTACAATTCCCTTTAAATATGCTGGCATTCTCCAATATAAATGTTTGGAAAAAAGGAGAAGGAAAGAGGAACAGGAAAAGATATCACAAAAGGTCTTGGGGAAATCTGGGTAATCTTCTCCACATGAGAAGCAGATAGCAGAGCAGTGGATTTATCTGCTCTGCGGAGGCAGTTTCACTCCTGTAGCAGCACACAGTGGTACCTCTGCCCTGTCCACAATGAATAGAGTCCAACAACAATGAAAAATATGTCCATCCACATCTCAGTCTTCCCTGGCTGCCATAAACCTCTCCTACAAACAGGTGTCCGTTCAGATGTGCTGGTTTGGGCTGTAAGAAGGCTGCCTCCTATTTATCAGATTTTTAATTCAAGCTTTTTATTTAGCTATCCATCACTTCTGACACCTGTAAGGCAGTAAAAGGACTTCATACAGGGAAACAAAAAATCAGAAAATTTACTTAAGATACCAAATCCGCTAATTTAGTTAGAGATAGCCTGGTAGTGAGGGTAAATGAGCCCAAAAATAACAAGCAGAGTGCTACAGTATTTAACAGCCTTTAGACTAGCACCATACTAAGGATGTGAGGGGTGGGGTGAGCTCCCATCAGCTAACACCTACCAGTTGTACTTTGGCACTTAGTACTTAAGACAGTACAATTAGCTGTTATTTTACAAAATGCATCTGAATGGCATCCAGTAAATCTAAGGGACACCAGCTCATATCACCTCTAGACAGAAAGGAATCTGGATTAGGGAACAGCAAATACACACAGAGAAAATACCACATACTTTAAGAAAATGTGTGTAACTACGGCCCTGCTCTAAGGAGACATGGTCCTTTGGGGGTGCACCACATCGGGTGGTGAAATGGGAAGTTTATGTGGTGAGATCTGACATCCTGCAGCACATCTGAAGTCCCTGGAGTGCTGCTCAAGTGTTGCAGAGCAGCTCGTGTCTCCTCACACCAATGGTGACCAGCTGGTCCCCAGCCAATAATGTGACATTTACTCCCCAGAGCAGCGCACCCTCGACAGTCCCTGGGGGCACCAGCACCCCCCGCCAGCGCAGCGGCGCTTCAAGAAACATTCCTTTTGTCTGTCGCAGCAAGTACGTGGTACAAGCCAGGGACGAGCAAGCACTGACCAAAGCACACAGCAGCTTCCAGTTAGAAATCCAGAGGGAAGCAGAAATCAAGGGGGAGGGTGGCAGGGAAGGGATGGGAGGAGGGAGAACAAGCCAACCCAAACTCGCCAGAAGCCCAGGCGCTCCCCTGCCACCCCCATATGAGCGCTGCGAGCCCGCAGACCCTTCTCCATCAGGTTATTGTATTTTCCAAGTCCAACCAGAAAAATACACCTAGAGAATAAGCAGGAGTCAGATGCACGTGGTTTATAATGTGCTGCTGAAACAAAACAGCCCTGAAGAGATTATCAATTGCTTTATCCAGGGCCAGACCAGACTCTAAACCCGCAGCGGCCAACGCGGCCAGTGAATGGATGGCAGCAGGTAATCCTGTGACTCACCCAGGCGTTTGACATCGCAGACACTGATTGCTGCTTCTGCCAGCCCAGTTATGAAACAGGCTGACTAACCTGGATACCACCACGCCTTCCCCCTGCCTCGCATTCAACAGCAATTTCTCCCAGGATTACCGCTGGCCGGCAGCACCTAACCTTCTCTAATATACACTGCTTCTTGCTGGGCATAAATCAAGAGGTTTGAGGGCAAAATGTTGATGAGAACACAAGGACCAGATCAGAGGTGTGCAACTGTCTGTCTGCTCCAACCATCCGTCACAGTGCAGAGCTGAGACCCTTCCACTCCCTCCCAAACTAACAGCCAAGTTTCAGCCTCCTGTAGGTGTCTCATGGAGAAACGGTCAAGGGGTGAAGATCTGTCCCCTCTCTACAGAGCAGGGACAAACCTACACAGTGTTAATCATGCTGGATTTTAAAGGAAAGTGTGAGGAAGGGCTCAGCAGAGGACCTGAGCCTGCCTTTACCTCTATAGCGCCCAGGCCAGCAAAACCTTCTGGAAGTTTGGTAACATAAATAAAATGCAAGAATGTTACTGTAAAATTAGAGAGAACATCACAGTGCAATAGGTATCTGAGGTTGTAATTATTATATAAAGGTTTCCATTCATGAAATGTCAAAGGAATATCAAGAAACATCCATCCTGACTACAGGAATTTAAGCCAAATATAGTAATATAAATTTTACTTTTCTGCTGAGATTAACTAAAAGAGAAAAAAACCTCAGTAACTCACATTAATGATACTATGCTTCGGACACACCCTCAACCTCTAGTTTATGTTTATTTTAAAATAACTCCACTAAGAGATAATTTTTGTATTAAAGTTTTCAGTTCAAAAATGAGGCTGGCATGTTGGGATTTTTTTTTGTAACAATACTGTTAGTCCAGACTGAGTGCTCTGAAATTTTAAGATTCAGGTCTCAGGCATCATTCCTACTGGGAGGAGTTCCGTCCCCACCAACAGCTGAATCAGACACCTCATACAACAGTGAAGAACTGGGAGGAATAGATTGAAAATCAACTTTAAGTGAGGTGAGTAGACATTTACAATTTTCCAAAGATATAAACTCTTAAACCGCAACAACTCCAGACTCAACAAGCCAAAGTGATAAGCTGAACTGAGGTTTCAAATAATGGGTTAAACTGGGCACACAGCATTTCAAGATATTATCCAACTTACCCTAAAGGCAGTTCCTTCCTCTATAATTGTAGGTAATTGGGAAAGGCAAATATCAACTGCAAGGTCCCACGCTTGCCTAGAGGAAAAGGTGAAAGAGAAGAGAGAAGTCAGTACAAGCCGTCCATAATTAATACCAAGGTAAATTTAAGTTCTGATCATACAAGTATGTGGACAAAGCAGTGTTGTCTGACTGGCTTAGAAATGCTTAATACTCCCTTTTTTAAAAAGTAGAACGTATGAAAACTATTCGGAAAAACAGGGAGACTGTCTAGTCCAGCATCACATCAGGCTGCCCAACAAAATGCAAGTGAGGTAACAAGATCCAGGCTCAAGTTCACTGAAGCTGCTCCTCTCTGTAATGCAGGAAGAAGCCAGAGTGAACCGAAGATTCATGACATACCTGTCCTCATGCAAAAACCGATGACATTTTTTAAAACTAGAGAAAATGAACTCAGTCCTGAATTAGCTCCAGCCCACAACCCTGCAGCACACATCTCTGCATCCAACACCTCGCTCGCTCTGTGTTCACGTCACATCAGCCCAGGAAGAGCAGCCCTGCTGACAAGCCCTCCAACTCGCAATCCATGGATACACCTACACCACCACACTCATTGTCCTTTCCCCCATCCCCGAGGCAGAGGCTGTGTCACTGCACGGATCACAGGAAAGTCACTCAGTCTCCATTAATCGGGGCTGGGTTTTGCGTGGCACCCTTGTCGACAAAGACTGGCTCTACATGACTCACCCTAAGGATGGAGGGACGTACACTGAACTAGAAGCAGAGAAAAGGATTTAAAGATTTCCGTTTTTTACACTTATCTACTCTACTATTTAATGGTTAAAGTATCATGACCTACAATATTTTAGTGTTACAGGTCTGACAGCACGTAAATTACAGACAGGGGACAAGGAACTCAGTACAAACTAACAGAGTCTGCTTCAAAATGCTTCCAAACTAAGAGAGGACCAAACTAAAATAAATGCATTTGGTCTCCAAAGTTGCTAAAACGCCTCTAAAAAAGCAGAACAGTTACTTTTTACCCCAGAAATATTATCCCTACTCTATCCATAGATGTTCCATGTACTTTTCATTTTAACCTAGGAGCTGATGCACTCTGAAAGGCCAGTGAGTTAAACCACCACCCGCTGGGTTTCTTACGCAAAAGAAACTGATTTACTCTCCAGACACATTTGCTCTTCCATAGCTTGTGGCCGTCGTGTTAACATCAATAAGCTAAGCAATTTTTCTTCTCCCAGGAACATTTGCAGACATAAGGCCATAGGTGATAATCAATACAGCGTACTTTAGTTACCTGCTCTAATAAGTTCTTAAATCACCCTGTTTTGAGTCAAACAAAGCCTTCCATTAGAACAACTGCTGAGCGAAATCCATCCCATGAGCCTAACTGGCAGCTGTTCTCAACCAAAAACAATCCCTCCAATTAGATGGAAAAATAAACTATAAGGCTTTTGCATTTTTTCCTATGGATTCGAGAGATGAGCTTATTTTAGCCACCCCAGACCTTGTCCCTCTGCTTCACAGCATTCACCTTCCACTTGACAATATGCTGCCAATATAATTAAAGAGGTAATCAAGAGATAATCAAAGCATGGGCAATAAATGCTTCCCACATGGTCAATAAAGGCCCATGCTGGAGACAAAATGTTTACACAGAGCTGATGAGAGAGATATTTATTCCTGGTTGAGGCAGAGGCAAAGTCAATTAGTACAAATATAAAGACAATTTTACTTCAAGCAAAGAATAATTATTTCTGACTTTCAGGTTTCTTGGAGGAATGGGCGATACCACCTAAAGAAATTCTCTCAAACATTGGAAAATGTCAATACACAGTGCCTTTGAGATGAGCTTTACTACATGGGAGGAAAATGGTTTAGAGAGCAGAGACAACTAGTCTTATTTTGGCTGCTTCTAAAAGGATTCTGCATAGGTCATTGTACTGCAGAGGTACAGAGCTAAGATGCTGAGCTCCTCAAAGTCATCTTAGGTAAGAAGCACTAACGCAGCTATAAAAATGTCCAAAGCAGCCCTGCAAGGTCAAATCTCAACGATTTTAAGTGTTATCAGAAAGAACAAATGAAAACTTAAAAAGATACTTTAGTAGATTAAATATACATATATATATATATATATATA